GTATTTAGTAAAAAACAAATTTATATTATAAAATATTAATACGTATAGATTTATTTCAACAGCTGTATACGGAAATAACTTTGTATCAGCATGTACTGTCATTGATTTATGACTAAGTTGTGATAATGAAAAGTGCAAACTGAGTCTACACTCACTCCTTCAATGTACAAACCGAGTAATGAATCACCTACCTCGATATATAAAGCTTTATAACCAAGGACAACTGGGGTCCTTTATGCTATCTCGCACATGTGAAGACGTCTTAGCTGAACTTAAATACAGGTTTGTGACTAATTAATACTTGGAGATCTCTCTATCCCCCTCTATCTCAGTGATAAATCATTGGAAATGATCCGAACATTGCGTCTGATACTTGCGGCAGCAAAACTGTATAGTGACTAAAATATTATTAACTGACATTATGTTATTCTTGCGGGTCTGTATCCATTAAGATGTGTATATATTCGTATATGTATTGGATCAGTTTCTTTTGTGTATGTCATTTGAAACATAGTAACCATCGCTTATAGTAATCCTTTTGTAATACATTATGTAATTGGAACGTAATTATTGAGCAATTTTCTTCGAGTAAATGAGATTTCAAATTCAATTCTCGAGCAGGCCGATTGTAAAAACTATTTTCATCATATCCGGGTATGCATATTCCTAGATTGATTCATAGACTATAGTACTTTTCCATCATACTTATCTGACTGTACTTCACTACTATAAAAACTAAAAATGTTATGAATACTGTAAGTACATGTATCCCTCTATATGTCACATTTTCACGATTAAACGGCTGAACGGATCGTAATGTAATTTGACATTACGATAGCTTCTATTATGAGGACTAACAGAAGCTATCTTACGTTTACAAAAACAAAAGACTACTTTGTTTTAAATTTGACGCGGTCATTATTTATACGTATAATTAGTAAATAACGGGATTTTTTATTTTTTTCACGTTTTATTTTTATTAAATAGAAATAGAAAATCATGTAGCGATGATTCTAAACTCTTTATTTTTGAAGTTAGGTAACTTGTATCCATGTCATATAACTTTTGGCTTTCCACTAGTTTATTATTATACTTATTAATATAATCATGCAATTTTAAATTTTGCAAAACTAGTTTTTTTCAGCAACTAACCATTTTTGGAACGTTTATATAATATACTCCGAGTCTTAGTTATAAACTTTTTTTATTTTAAATATTTTTTTAATTTATTATGACTCAACATTAAGTTCCCGATATCTCTTAAAAACGGTTATAGACTCTCTAATGCCTGGAATCAAGTGATTGGTTTAATTAAACAAAAACATAAAACGCGATCAGAGAGTGTATTAAGTGTACGTAAAGAAAACTATAGATATAACATCGAGTGAATTTCAATAGTAGCAACAAACAAAGACGTGTGAAGGTAGACGAATATGTCTGCCCATGAAAGCTTTTATTTGCTCTTCGCTACTCTTCAGTTTACCCGTGATCATGGTAATTGAAACACTGCCGAAATATTGGGAACTCAATAAAAAATAAAACGTGGTATTCTGTAATTTACTAATTATACGTTAAAAATAGATGAAGTTGCTTGTAATCGTTATTCACCATAAAACGGCCTATCTCATTCTTCTTTAAGAGCCAGACTGTTGAACTGTTGGCACAGTATCACAATACTTTGTTCTTTGTGCAATTGTGTGATGATCTGGCACTTAGTTATTATTATATCGAAACCTCCCAAATAGGGCTGTCGCTTCCAAATCTAGATATCGACGAATCGATGGTGACTCAGATAAGTTTATAAAGTAGCACGATTTTATCGGCATTTAACCGATCTCCGGCGAGTTATTAACGACGCTCGGCCAAGATAGATGGGGCTCGTTTTTTACAAGCACAACTAGTCTACTCGGATGACGAATGACGTTTGGACATAAAAAATATAAACCTTTGTTTTACTTAATCGATAACGATATTCTAACAACTTGTATGATTGATATAAAAGATTTTAGATACATCTGTTCATTTATTAGCGCATGTCGGTAATGGAGTAACATCGTAATTAAGTGTTCCTAATTGTTTTATGATGATTAACTGAGTGGACGGCTGTACATTTGTAGTGGTGGAAGCAAAAAGTTTGTTCGCTCGAACTGTTCATTTACACTGACTTGGATACCTACATGTTTGTAAATTTGAAACTGTATCGCCTGTCAGGAACCGTTCCACTGCAACTATAAGTTTAAAAGTATAATTACAATATTATGCGGTCAGAATGATGCAAGTAGGTGACTTGGCTAAATAGTTATATACGAGTAGGTGTCGAGTGAAATTACTCACTCTATTTGTCAAAGGAAAGTCAAAAATCAAAGCAATAATTATTTAATCACATAGGACATTTGAGTGAGACATTTTGTTCGTTTATGTACGACATGATAGTTTATCACAAGTCCGAAGATCGGCTATTTGATTCAGTTAGAAGTATTAAGAAACTTGATTGTTACATTATCATTTTTCATTTTAATCTGCCATATAACATAACGGTTCTGTAGTATAAATAGTATATATGTATAACATATTGAATACATATAAAATAAAAATGTAATTAACATCCACACTAAATTATAAATAAACTATAAGAACTTAATTCTTATGTAAATCAATTTTCCATAAGCGATTTAAAACTTATCTTGTGATTAATAATATGCATTAAGTAAAAAAACGTTAATGATAAAAAACATTATAGAAAATCCTGAAAATTTTCTTGTTTTAATTAATTTTAGTTATATAAACGCGAATGTTTGATTGTTTGATCGATGTATACTCGAGTCACGCAAACACTCCTGAACGGATTTTGTTGAGACTTTACAGTAATATAGCTTATATATCAGAATAACATATAGGCTATAAATTTGATGCGACTGATACTGCAGGCGCAGGCTAGTACCTTTATAATTGAGTATGCGTTATAGCATCTATGCCTGCATGGAAATTATACGTCTATCGTGAATCCTTTGTACCAAAACTAACATTACATTTTCTTATACCTCTTATGATCACTACATTATCTTCGCTTAAGCTTGTGTGTTTGATGTTTCATCTGCGGATTATATTGTCTTAACGAATATTCCATTCAATGTTGAAGGTTTTGACACCAAAACCTTCAACATTGAATGGAATATTCGCACACACGTGCGCAATATTTCTTATACAGTATTAATGTATTTGTAATGTCAACAAAGGGCAAAATATAAAAAGACGTATCTTCTCTTTAATCACAGGTATGATTTAGACAGCCTCGGTGGTCTAGCGGTTTAGCACACCGCCGTACTTCCGATGGTCGCGGGTTCGTTTCTCGTACGGTTCAAACATTTCTATTCTTGAGTTTGTGACGGTCTTGGTGTTTTCTACGTATATTATGTATGTATTTACATAAAAAATTTATATAAGTTGTCTAGTACCCATAACACAAGCACTAGGTAGCTTAACTTGGGATTAGATGATGGTGTGTGAATTGTCTTGAGATATTATTATATTATGAGCAACTAATAAATACTATGGTTTTTGTATTTTGTATTTAAATCAGCTAAGAGGTATTCTTGTGTATAGGCGACGCAAGTGGAGAGGGGGTTGTTAGTAATGGGAACTGATGACCTCTTTGCTACCAATATACCATGACAGATTGATCTCCACGTGATTTCCCTTGAAACCATCATATCTAGTGAATTTCATACGATGGGCTAACTGACCTGACCTCATGCTCATCCTATCATCCTTCACTGACGCCCTGCTACCGTAAACGTCAGCGCAGACGGGTGCACCATTACATTATCATCCATAAACAAAACTATCAAGTGAAGCGTCAGCTTAATTGCTGTTATGGTATATAAAAAATCAGACAACCAGAATTAATTTTGTAATTTAAAAAGTAAAAGCCCTTTCGTATACAGTTGCGTGTTACTTAATACCACCAGGCAGAGGCTGCCAAAATCCTATCAACAGTGAACAGATGACCGCACTGCAGTTCGCTATATAATAAATGAAAATATGTATCAATACATAGTATAAAACAAAGTCGATGTCGCTGTCTGTCCGTCCCTATATATGCTTAAATCTTTAAAACTACGCAAAAGATTTTGAAGCGGTTTTTTTAAATAGATAGAGTGATTCGAGAGGAAGGTTTATATATATAATACATGTACACCCGTGTGAAGCCGGGGCGAATAGCTAGTATAATAAATCTATACAAATGAATTAAATTGAAGTGTCTGTTTATAATTTCAAATTAACAGGTTTTCACTGAATGTATATAAAAGTATATTCATATACATTCAGTGAAAACTGTATGATTGTTCTGGCAAGTCTTGAAATGGCCAGATCGTTTTTGACGGGACTATCACTCGCAACCATAGTTATAAGAAATATTTTAGGCTACTTTTCTTTTAGAAATTTGATTTCCACGCGGTCGATGTCGCAGGTTACAGCTAGTTATGTATAAAAAAATGATAGAGTTACTCATGTTGAATGAACTTGACCGACACGTTTTTCGATTGCACGTGATGATTGGTCAATATAAAGTCTAATAATAGCTCTAGTCTATAATGAGATGTTTTTTACGAAACTTATCATCACTTATAAAATAGTTTTCCATCATCATTATCAACATACAGCTAAAACTAGTTAGTTTTGGAACATATATTTAATATTTTTAAAGTAAACATTTGTTAAGACAGGATTATTGTATATTTTTATTTAACATCAAATGGAATTTTGAAATTTTTTATTACTGATCAATGCACGCGTTAGAGCAGTGGGTAATACTTAGTTACGCTTAAACATAGAAAAAGTATTCTATGTAGCAATATTTAACCAATAGTTTAAATAAAGAAGTTCGGTTTTAATAAACAACATGAAATGTGTTTTATAATCCTTATTTGAATCATATAATATATCAATACTTGTAATTAGCGGTAAGAATATTAACATTTTTTTTTTGTTAATTTCAGATACGACAGCGCCATACGTGCTATACAAAGATGGCGTTGAACGCGCTCCACCTGGCACCCAATGGGGCGGAGGCGTCCTCGACGGGGGCTATCAGCCAATGCAGCACCAGAGTCCTGGCGGGCCCTCGCCGCAACCCGAGCCACAACTCGCTTCGCCAGCGCCATCCTCACCGTATCCCTCTGCACCACCCCCTCCAGATCCAACAGGAGCCGCTGAAGACGCAGCACAACAACTCGCACAACAACAAGCTCAACAGCAAGCGCAGCAACAACAGCAGCAACAACAACAGACATCACCAGAACATATGCAAGTCGAACAGCAGCTACAGAGCCAGCCGCAACCGCAACCGCCTTCCCAAGACCACCTGGATAGGACGCCATGCTTTGTACCACAACCGGATTTACAACAGCAATACGCTACACCTTATTTTAAAGAGACTAGACCCACTAGTCACATGCTCGGAACAGGCGGTTTCCCTCTACATTACTTAAAACAGAATGGCGTTCTATCTCTGGAAGGACCAATTGATCAATATGGGGCACCTGAACTCCGTCACTTACCAGACATTGTCCAACCTGAACCTCCGAAGCCACGAAAGCATAATCCGAACTCGGAGTTGCGGCTTTTCAAATGCTTGACATGCGGTAAAGACTTTAAACAGAAGTCGACATTACTGCAGCATGAGCGGATCCACACGGACTCGAGACCTTACGGGTGTCCAGAATGCGGCAAGCGGTTTCGCCAGCAGTCACATCTGACCCAACACCTCCGCATCCACGCGAACGAGAAGCCATACGCGTGCGTCTACTGCCCGCGTTCGTTCCGGCAGCGAGCCATCCTGAACCAGCACCTTCGCATCCATTCCGGTGAGAAGCCATATACGTGCGGCGAGTGCGGCAAACATTTCCGCCAGAAGGCCATCCTGAACCAGCACGTCCGCACACACCAAGGCGAGCGCTATTCACACATATATACCTGTCCCCGATCCCCGCGCGCGCCGTCCGCACTGACGTCCTCGGTCACTGCCGGCGTCGCTTGCGATTCCCGCCGCTCCCTACACGTTCGATTCGGTCTCGCATCCATTGGCCTTCCTTTCAAACAAATTCTCGGTTCCCTCGTCGCCTATGTAAAAGAGGGCGCTCGCGAGACTCAGAACCGATCGCCGGACGCTCCCATAACCTTCCAAGTTTGATTAACCCACTCGTCGGTATTCCTGAATCGGATGTCAAAACCTGTAATTGACCAAACTATTCCATTTTTGCAGACGTTTCGCCGCATCTGATTTTCAAGAACGGGACGACGCCTACCCTTTGGCCCCAGGATGTGCCATTTCCGGCTGATGAAAACAAAGAGGAGGTGCAATCGACATACGGTGATGCTGATGGACAAAACGGAGACCCACGCGGATCATGTTTCTCACCCGGCGATACGGCCCAATATCCTGCTTACTTCAAAGACACTAAAGGTCTCAATCATACAGTCTTCGGCTCTGGACTTTCTTTACAATACTTAAAAGGTGGGAAACTACCTGATGTTCTCGGTGGTCGTGCGATGCCCCTATATGTCCGTTGTCCTATTTGCCAGAAAGAATTCAAACAAAAGTCAACGCTTCTTCAACATGGTTGTATTCATATAGAATCCCGGCCTTATCCTTGTCCAGAGTGTGGCAAACGTTTTCGACAACAATCACATCTAACGCAACATCTTCGCATTCACACAAACGAAAAACCATACGGTTGCGTGTACTGTCCCAGATTTTTCCGTCAACGGACTATTCTCAATCAGCATCTACGTATTCATACAGGTGAAAAACCATACAAATGCACACAATGCGGGAAAGATTTCAGGCAGAAGGCGATACTGGATCAGCACACACGAACGCACCAAGGTGACCGGCCTTTCTGTTGTCCGATGTCGAATTGCCGGCGGCGGTTCGCAACCGAACCTGAGGTTAAGAAGCACATCGACAACCATATGAATCCGCATGCGGCTAAAGCAAGACGTGCCGATGCCGCGAAGACGCCACGGCCGCTGCCTCCGGCGGCGGCGGTGGTGAAGCCCGAGCTGTACTTCCCGCAGTGCTACGCACCGTTCCAGCAGTTCCCGGCGACGAGCGGCGCGCCCGAGTTCAAGCCGGCCGTGGGGCCCGGCGCGCCGGTGGCCTGCCTGCCGGCCCAGTGACCCGCGCCTCCGCCTCGATGGCACCCCGCGCCCACACACGCGCCCCCACACCACGACCTTTACGTCGCCGACCGACTGTACAATTAAACTTTTTGGTGCGCCTCGTCTTCACCGTTATGATGATAGAGCAAGTAAATGGTGCCCCGAAGTAGAAGTACAGTCCGGCCTTAAAACAGTATACGACTCGCGTTGCGAGCTTTGTAATGAAAATTATTATTCGGATCGCTGTAAAACAAGCTTCGATCTGTAAATAATGACATTGTTTATATTCTACCGAAAGTCTGTCGCGAATGTACAGTATAAAAGTTCATCATGAATAGTGTTACCGTTGAGGAGCGAATTCAGATAGCATTTTTTGCCCCGTAATATTAAGTTACCACGTAAGAGTTAGGTTTCGCGGTGATTCTTCTTGAAACGATCGAAATCATTGAAATGTAAGCAGATCGAACCAGAGATTAGAATTTAAAGCTCTACGTTGAAAACTAAAAGTAAGAATTGATCTTTTACCATAATTGCAATATTTCGCGATGAATGTTTCCGGTACAGTGCTGTGCCTATTGTAATAAATATACATATTTTGTAGATATATTAAGTTAATTTTATTTACGAGTATTAAGGGATATAATCTGGCAAACGGGGGGAGATTAGATGAATTCATGATGCTCAAAATATCTTTAAAGTAATATGGTAATGTAAGAATTTACGCGGTAACTTTAGGTCCAAATTTAGAAAAAATTCGGAGAGTAATACATCAGAGAACAGAAGCATGAAAGCAAACCAAAAACGTAGGTTACCTTTTGCCATCTAAATACATATTTTTTTTTAGTACTTACACAATGTTCCGTTAATGCATTTACGTGAATATTAATAAACGAGATTACCGAGATGTCTCTGTCATCACTATAGGTGCCAAATAGTGTAGTGTTTTTTGAATTTTTCTACCATTTTCTATTATAGTTGGCCTAGTTTAGGTTGTTACCAGTTTTATCAACGATTACGTGACAATTTGAGATGCATTTAAGAGGAAAGGGTCAGACTGAGAAAGGACTGTGATAGCTAGGTAGGTTAGGTGTCTATTTCGCTCACTTAGCGTTAAACTTGGTATGTTGTGACGAAATGTGATTGAAAGTCCCTATTGGAGGAGTGATTGCATAAGAGTTGTTCGAATTTTCATTTTTTTAATTGAATTTGCTTTTGTAATTATACGTAACTCGAAATTGCCAAACGTCTTTGTAAAATTGAGTTTTATGTTCCTAATATATCGAAATTTCGCATTTAAATAGGTCCGATTCTTTTGTGTCGGTTCATTGCTTTTCTTTATTGACTGATTCGATAACGTAATGTTCGAAGAGTGAGATTAGAATATTACATTGATGTAATGTAACGCGTGTGATGTCGCAAAGTGCTTTGTCGTAGTTTGATCCAGGAAAGGAAGAATATGCCAGAATAATATTATTTCTAAATAATTATTATAGATTAGATTATCGACTCTCGAATTACAAAGCAATTCGATCATTCATCGCGAAATACACTTAGAAGTTAGGAAGATTAAAGATATTATATGAATTTGTGGCGTTGTTGAAATACCCTGGTGATGAAGAGTGCGTCCTGCATTATTTCACGTCCACAGAATATATTATACAGTGCATAATGTAGACATAGGAACTATACGGAATTATTTTAAACACGCCCAAACATATTGTAGTTTAAGCGTAAAGAGGGACAGATATATCAAATATATCGTTTCTGATAATGTTTCATTTAAATAACGCAATACAATGGAGTCGATGAGACTATAAACTGTAACAGCGTCAGGGTATTTCATCAGGCTTTTTAACGTTTTTATCATCTCTGTTTGTATCTATAGACGACATATATAGCTTATTTTACGATATTGTGATGGTTTCGTTTTCCTACAGCACAATAAGAACTGTTATGTATCAAAACTGATACGTAGATGTAATAATAATATTTGAATTTGTGGGAGTCACACGACACGTTGATACCAATAATTTATCACTTCTAGAAGTGAATAATGCAATATTAAGTTTAGTGGATTTTGTGTGTTATTTTTATGACGAATTATGCATTGGACAGTTATGAAAATTACAAGCGAGCCAGTTTTGTTTGGCAACTAATTTGCTGCACAACGGAGTACATACATCTGCTGTAAGCAGAGAGAAAAGTTTAAAGAAAATGGCACTTATAGTTTTGATATTTAATGCGATTTTCTTAAAACTAGTTTTCTCGACTTACTGCGTATATATGTAATTGTGCGGCAGTATCAAAACTGGCCGCATCCCGCAGCGTCTTCTCAGGATGCAGTTTTGTTTACTGGTTGATTTTCCTATCAAACTTTTGGAGGTTTACAAACTAAAAACACCATTATCGAAGAGTATTAGAGTATTATCTTCCGTGACTGAAGTTTTCCACAATGTTCACAACGTGTGATCCTCCGAGGTGCGCGCGACGCCCCCGCCCCCGCTACAAGCAGTAATGATAAGTTTCCGTTTCTACTCATTGAGGTATTATATACAAATGTACTAAAGTAGACGCCGCACAAATGCAGCGATAGAGCCGCACTTTACAGGGCCACTTTTACAGTCGCTAGCATCGTCATGTAGGTAGATAACTATTTGTTTACAAAAATAAGTTATCTGCTTAAAATAGTCCCTGGCTTGTGTTATAATATAGTAGTAAGTAGTAAAAGATATATAAATGTTACATTCGTTTTATAATTCTCTTGGATTACTTCCGCACACGAATGAAGCTAGACTAGCTTCCAATGTCCACTGTAGTACCTACATAATACCTCAATGTCCTTCTATAGTTTATATACACCACATACAGACAGCCTTAAACAATATTAGCTAATAAGTATTTTTATACAGTTCATGAGATATAAATATATTATTCAATATATAGGGGCGGGAGCGTCGCGGCGCGCTCTAGTACAAAGTTTGAATACAAACAACACAGTGCCATAGCCGTGAAATAACCTCAGATTTATACTTATTAGATTTTTATACCGATACAAATGGATTTAATTTTTAAATATAAACAAAGGTGATTAAGTATACAGAGATTACAGATGATATTTTATACATTTATTACATACAATTATTATTATAAAAGTCATAACGTTAGTGTCCTATAGGTACCTATTGCAGTTGCAACATGTTACGTACCTAAGTATGTGAAAAACTGATTTTTGTATAATTTTAAGTTGTGCAAAATTGATATATTTTCATCAATTCTGCATAACTTACATCACAGATATATGTAGCTTGTCGAATCGACGTCTAATGCAGATGTAAATGGTAAATTTAATTTATCGATCAGGTGACATTATATTAAAAAAAATCTGCTTCTTGCTTAATGAATATCGAAAGGTATTCATAAAAATTCGCACAATGGTTATTTTTCAGCGTGGTTATTGTAAATACATATCATTGGAAAGTTTTCAGGCAGTGTTGCAATTAATTGTTTCGTTACAGTAGAAAGAAAAACGTGCGAGAAAATATACTTCTAAGGCGATGTAATAAATTACTATACCATTTCCAGAACTTTCTAAAAACAGTTGTAAGAATTCCTTCCCACGCTGTTATGTTCAAATTGCTCATTTTGTTAAGTTTTGCTCAAATATTTGTGTATGTAAGTACCTATTACGTTCATTATAGTAACATTATTAGCATACTTTACGTACGAGAAGTTATTGTATAATACTTATTTGAGAGCACGGTTTTGCTTTTCTTATGAAACTATTTGTTAAGTAATCCAATCTTGTTCTACCGATTAAGTACGATATTGGACATGTTGCGGTCGACGCGGATTGAGACGAGCATTCATCACTAAATTCATCACAGTGAGCCGTCCAATTCGAATGTTCATCAATGTATTCATCATCGATTGTAGTTTTCAGTTTTTGACAAGAATTTTCTCTACTACATTAAGTTTTACGTGTTCCTAGCGTTTAAAATACGTAATCTATAATCTAGAGGTTCTTTTACCTTACATTTTTGATAAACTCATATTGTCTATCTATTTAAGTATATTTTCTGTTTCATACTGAATTAAAAGGGGCAGATATTACTGTAATTATTGTCGTGCACTCAATGTCAATATTGATAATGTGCAGCAGTTTTTTTAATGTTGCCAAATTGATTATGTTTTTACTCGTAGATAAAAATAGTTATAATTCTATATTGGTACATTTTTGTCGCCCTCCAGACTAAACATTAAAAATAGAATTTTCATAATTTAATATACAATACTGAAAGCCAGTGAAAATGTAAATAAAATTTTCTCTTTATGGAAGAACATTTAGGCAACATTTTACAAAAAAAAATTGTTTGTACTCTATGTTAATGCCTCCAAATCTGTCTCTTCGCAATGAGTCATATTTTCTTGTAACCCCTAATTATTATAGGTAGATAAAATGTGATGATTGATGTTTGTTATATCAATTGAAACGGAAAGTATATTATTTCTTCATATTATATACGAGTGCTGCCCTTTATAGCTATTTACCTACTTATTTTTTGTGTATACAATAGATTTTTAAGTTGTTAAGGATATAAAAGGAGAGAATAAGATTGCATCGTGGCAGTATACGTTGCATATAACGTAATAGTGATTACTGATATACTTTATAATTGTCAATTGTATTAAATACAATATATATTCCGACAATGAGAGTATAACTGCACCATTGTCCGGACCGGTGGCGAAACATCGTAGAAATAGTCGGTCAGTAAAAATGACATCGTTCATTCACTTCGTTCATAAATTGAACATGTTCTATTTTTGAATAATGCATTTATTGTGTGATCTCAGCAGTCGAAAATTTAGATATTTTAAGACATAATTGACACTCATTAGAAATTTTGCCTCCAAAATAATCCGGCGTTTCGATTTATATTTCAATATGCATTTATATAAACTTGCATTTGGTTTTATTCTCGTGAATATTGTAAATAAATCCTTGATTTGTCTATAAAATACAATAATTTCAAATACTAATTCTAAATAAGTACATCGATTCGCCTTTATATTGGAATATGAATCGTTTATTCTAAATATATTAATGTTTCGTTTACGATCGCATTGCAACACAATATACACAAGTTTTGTTTTAATGTAGATTGTATGTACCTAAGAGATCCTAGATGATAGGAATCTTAAAAAAATTTAGTTGATAAAAGGTTGGCTACGAATTATTTAAATATGTCTTCCATATTTCGTATTGTTTATTGTTACGATGTTTTATGATTTGAGCTGTACCTATACTACCTGCAGTTGATATTATCATATGCGCTTTATTTGTACAGTTCATGTGATTTTATATGAATAAAAATACAATAGTCGCTAGAGCGGCTTCAGTGCAATACACTTGAGTTTTGGCGGAATATTTTAGTAATTTATTATTTATATTTTTTATTTAATCAGACAATTGTTAGTGTAGATAACAGAAATAATTGGTAGCCAACACAATATATATGGCCTATGTTTTATTTGTTCTATAGCTACCTACAATATTGTATACACTGCCACTCGCCGACCGCTGTCAGCAAATGTTTAAAACAATTTTTTATTACAATAGAAACTTGTTGAATACAGTTCCACAGTAAAGTAAGTGTTGTTGAATTTTTTATAAAAGATAAACATATTAGATTAATGATCTTGTAGTCTGGATTGAGTTTTTTGCAGATTTTATTGGTGTAACGTTTAAGTCGGTAATACGTCGTCTATTTAGCTTATTTTTGCTATAATACTTATTTAAAGCAATACAATAAACAGTTTACATATACATACCAAATAGTACAATAGATATATACAGATTATACAAATATATACCATAGGTTATACAATAAAGCGGTGATATTATTATAATTACAGATTTTCTTTTGTAAAGAAGCATAATAGGCGGCGTACGTACATGAATTGGTTTCATTCGAATGGGTGCTGTTATATCAACAATTGTACATATTTATTGTAATATAAAGCAATAGACTGGATTTACACTGTTATTAGGTTTCTACAGAGTTATCTTCTGGGGTTATTGAGAACTGAATATCTATAAGTACTTTCATGTTATCTAACTTTACATTAATACAAGCTTCTTTATCCATTCATAGATAAATTTTATTATATCAGTATCATATACCATATTTCTATTGTACAGTTACGCAGTATGGACGACCACGGTATGGTCCTTCGGGCCGGATACAGAACAATTAATAAATATAATTTATAAACTTATGGATATAAATGTTTTCGGTTCTCACAAACTCCAGCCGTCATGTTACAATAGAGTATATTTTCTTACCTACAATTACACCGAAATAGATTACCTATATAAATTCATTTTAGACAATCCCAGAATACAAGATCTAACTTTTTACACACAACAGACGAACCACATTTGTTTCTTCCATTTTTATTTTTACGATAACAAAAAAGCAGTTGGTTGCGATATGGTCACAGTAATTCAGGCGATAAATTAATATGTTGGCATTATAAATGAGAAATTGTAAATATACGTTCTAGTTCTTCCAAAATGAATAATATCAGTATTAAATACAAAATTTCGACTTTGGTTAGGTCAAAAATGTATGTGTGATCTATATTGAATATTTGCATTAAACCTTCTTGGTGTAATTTTAATGTTTGTATAATTTTTTATTATATTATTTTTTTCTTGTATTTAGATATTATTTTTTACTTGAATTAACGATCTTGCCTAGACTTGCATTTATGTTAGTTACGTTACGTCTAATTAATACGTTTGAAGTTGATACCATCGTATTTATGTATATTATTATTGTATTAAGGGTTTTGTTTGTTTTTTTGTCATTAATAGAAGTAAAATGTTGTAAAAAGTAAGCTCGTTGTATTTTATCAAATAAACACTTTTTAGTCCAACTGAAGCAATACAATGCAGTTTCATTTTCTGTATCATTTAATCTATCCCCTCATAGTACTCTGTTTTTGTTGTCAATAACCATATAGACCTATATTTAATCAAAGTGGTTATTCTTTCTACAAAGACGTCATCGTTAACACATCTGTTTGTGCTGTCACTCAGCTCTGTAAACTCTTTCGATTGATAAGTGAGATATGGCAGTGAAATTATAGAGGCATGACTCTTCAGTCTGCCGAAATGACGACATATGAGAAGTACCATGGGAGTTATGTGTCACTAGTATATCCTATAAAGGACATTCATTTGAACAGTAATCGGTAATGTGGACTGATCCACATTACTAACAATTCCCTATTCCCTCCACACTTTCCTATTTACAATATCATAAGTATGGTTATAAATTTTTGTATTTATATTTCCAGTAACTGCATGACTATGCAGTTCTATGCAAAATCTGTAGTTGGAGACCTTAACTACAGAAATTCATAAAAATTTTTTTTTTTATATCATGGCCATATCATATCATATTCACACAGCGTTATATATTCCCAAGCTAAACAAAACTTGGGATATGGGTACTAGACCACTGATATAAATATTTAAATACATTTTTTTGTAAAACATATAATAAAAATGCTTGCACCGTGCGATGAATCGAAACAACGACCATCAAAAGTGGTGTGCTAAACCACTACACTACTGGGGTTGTCGCTTATATTACTGAATATGTAGCAAATAAGATACGTCAAAACTTTCTAAGTTTATTCACCAATATAAAATCTATATCACAATATATGATTTATACTAAATAACAATACCTACTAACTATCACGCCTCGCCAACTTGTTTATGCTATCCTGATTTTTATATATACACAAATCCATGAAAGTCAGACCTAACAGTAGGCAATGGCCCAATATGTCTTGCTGCAACTCCTTTTGTGCTCTGTACATGGACTGGATTGAAGGTGAAATGTATACTTTGGAATTATTTGACGTTCTCCCGTTTATTTCCTGCAGCAACAATTCTACAGTCTGATCTGTAGAGACTTTCTCGTTACCAACTAGGGTTCCGTATAATCTGAAAAATGAAATAAAATGTACATATGACGGCCTCGATGGTGGAAAGAATAGAAGAATAGAAGAAAAAAAGAAGCCATAGCGGCTTAGCGCACCGCCTTACTTTGCAATGGTCGCGGTTTTTTTTTTATGGATGATAATGGAATGGTGAAACCGCCTGCGAGAACTGTTCACGGTGGCGTGGCACCAGTGGAAGATGATAAGATGAGCGCATGAGATCAAATCAGTTAATCCATCTTGGCAAATGGCAATTTACCACGATGGTTTCCAAGGGGAGCCGCGTGGAGGTTAGGTTTGGGATTATACTATACTATTAGAAAATTTAAAAAATGATTAGAAATTATTATAATTACCTATAAGGAAGTGCAGGCCTCAAAAAGTAAACATTATTATTTAATTCCTGATTGTTATCACCATTTGAAGATCTGAAAAGATAACATAGAACATTATTAGAATATATGTGCATTTGATTTTTTCGTATTCACTCATTCATTCATAATTTAAGAGCCGCGCACTTCTCTTGCATTTGCAAATGCTTTTTTTGCATTCATTCATTAAAAAACAGACTAGAGTAACAATCAAGCTGACGGTTAACCTACTGGTAAGAGGTAACGCCTATATACATCAACAGCTACGTATATCACGTTATCATGTGACAACCGTGATACCACTCATTGCCATTCCAGAGAATTAAGATATTATGCCTCTAATCCTGTATTATTGATAAAGCGCGCGATATAGCGCAGGAAAGATAGTGCGCGCGATATAGCGCAGGAAAGATAGTGCGCGCGATATAGCGCAGGAAAGATAGTGCGCGCGATATAGCGCAGGAAAGATAGTGCGCGCGATATAGCGCAGGAAAGATAGTGCGCGTGATATAGTGCGGGAAAGATGGTGTGCTTGATCATGTTACAAAGCAAGAGGACGACTTACAGTCTACCTTATGTATTTTTTTTAATAATAATAATACTCTGGGCTATTCTCACAACCCTAGATGGCGTCCCAAAGTATGCAGAGCTTGTGTTATGGGTACCAGACAAGTGATATAAATAATAATAATAAAAAAAAATGTACAATCGAAAGTTTAAGCCTTTTTTCTGTTTTGATCAGTATAGAGTTTATTTTCGTTCTGATTTTGCATTTCATAAAATTTGACTATCATTACTTATTCACTATTTTCATAATAATACCATGATATAATTTAATAATATTGTTGCTGACGTACTGGCCACAGACTTTTATAGTTCATATATTATAGTTTTCTAAAGAATTTTATTATATATATTTTGTATACAGAACTTTAATATCGAATAAACATTGTGACAGACAACAAATATAATTTATGATATGATCTTAAACCACAACTGTTGTAAATTGTTGCATGCCCGATGGGGTGTAACTGTGATACATATTGTATATAAAATTTTCGTGTTACAATGTTAGTTACCATACTCCTCCGAAACTGTTCAACTGGTTTTTATGGAATTTTATATATTCAGTAGGTCTGAGAATCGACTACTAAAGATTTATTCTATTCTATTCTATCCATACCTAGAATATGAGCAAAACCTTTTTTCATTCATTAAGTTTTTCATACCTAGATTATTTACCTTTTTTTTAAAAAAAATGTGTGTGGAAAATCTTCAAAAGATCATTACCACGCCATGGGTGGTGGATGTTGACCCACTAAATACCACACGATGTACCTGCAAGCGACTAAGCCGGAGATCGGGGTTTCGCATGTGCATTCCACCTCGAAGCTTATTATCCTACCTTTATTATCCAAATTAACTTATAAATATATTAAGTTTTTACCTGCTCGCTATATCATTAGATCTAGCAGTAATGAGGGAGACAATCATAGAGACCATCTGGGACTTTTGTAAGTTAATAGCAAGCACTTTAGGATTGTTAGGATCGCTGCCAGCTGCGCGGAGTGTAGTGGGTTCAGCTTTCATCACGTAAATATCAGCTATTGGCAACTTATTTGTTACCTTCCATGCCTGTAATTGAAATAAATACAGGTTAACAAAGAATAATAATGTATGAATATCTATTAAGGTAAAATTGTATTAAGATCCGTTCAGCTGTTTAGTTGTGGGTAAGTAATAAACAGACATAAATTTTCGCAATTATTGTATTAGCATGGAAACACTTCAAATGTAATCTATAAAAATAAATAAAATTTAAGTGTGTTTGTAATTTCAAATTAACAAAGTTTCACTAAATGTATATAATAGTATATTAGGAACTTTCATAAAAGACATTATCAAAATTTTCTTTGTCTGTTCTTGGTAATCTCTGAAATAGTTGGACCGATTTTGATGGGATTTTCATTAACAGAAATTTAATCTTATCAGGAGCAACTTAGAACACTATATTAAAAATTATATTTTAATAAAAAAAGTTTATGTTGGACGCGGGCTCGATTTCTATATGTTACGTTTAATATGCATTATATGTTAAGAGGATAGGATTGTTCGGAATGGGAACTAGTGGCCACCATTGCTGGATATGTACCTGTCACGTCATGTATATGTAAGATTCTTCTCCATGCAGTCACCCCTGGAAATTTTGGTTAATTCTTGGTAGATTCACGACTATTGACTGACTGAGTTTACTTTATACTAATCTTCAATTAAATTAATATATTATATAATTACTAATCTTTAATTAAATTAAATTATAAATATTCACTGCTAGTTAAGAATTAAATAATGAGTGAACATTTTTTTTTTATTGAGGGTTTTGGGCTGTCAGGTATCAAGACCTGTCACATTGCGACCTACATAGATTTATTGTGCTCACTCTTTTTCAAAGTTCGCTACCTAGGTTTCATGCACAAGAATTGAAACATATTCTTAGGAGGAACGGTTTTTATCTCAAGATGTATGGATGTATACTTTCCAAGAGTTAGAGTTACATTTATGTATGAGTGGGCTACAACCACATAAGATGTATAGTGACGTTTCCTCTTCTGCTGGAGTAACCAGCGATGTCATGCGCCATACCATATTCATCCAAACCATACAAAAAAAACTTACAATGTTTAATATGTCTGTAAGCTGCAACCGCTTATCATTTGAATAGTCAAGACTGAGACAATTCCATTCCAAAACTTCATAATTTTCTTTGTCTATTAAAGTCCAACAAACTGAATTCACAGCTGTATATACAGCCAGTACTGTATTACATTTCTGAAACATAGTTAAATACAAATTAACTATGGAAAGATAAATAATTTATTATTAATATTAAAAAAGAAACTACAAATAAATCAGTGCAAATAGGAATATTAAATAATAATAACAATTCAAGAGAGACAACTGATAGATATATTCAAATATTTGTTTTAAATATACATTTTTTAAATTATTCACCGGGTCTTAACACAACTTAACCTAGTTGAAATTTCGAGAGAGGTAAATACCTTTACTTGCCAAAAAAATATTTGTATTAAGACCCAGTTAATAATTTAAATATTTGTTTTTAAATGTATGTATTTAAAAAAAAATATTTAAATTATATATATATATATAATATTATACATAGAAAACATCCAAACCTTTTGTATTGGTATGAGTGTTTTCTATAATATAATCACACATTTGAATACTAATGTTTATACCATGAGTGAAATGGAACCTGCAAAATTGATAAACAAAATACTCTATTAGGAAAAATCTGGGCCTAACAGTGCAGTTATTTAACTGAAAATATTTATCACATAAATTTCTTCAAATATTATTAATATTTATTTAATAGCAAGTGCTATCAGCATCGTCAATCTCTTATTCTCCTAATTTACTGGTGAAGGCTATAACAGAATAGTAGAGATGGTGGACTCACCGCCTCCTCTGAGTTATAGATCATTTTGTCTCATTCATTACAATTGCTACTTATATTTTATTATTATATAAGTAGCAAGTGAATTAGTTTTTCAGACAAATAAAGGTGATTATTATTATTATTATAACACCGCTTTTTTATATTGATTTACTAATTACTATTTTTTTAATTAATTAATGAATGAAAACTCTTTATTGTTCCTCTCACAGAAAGATCTAAAATTTACATAAATTAATATGTACATCAAATATAAAAAGAAAAATAACATAATTATAATATAGAGGTAACAATGGGCTGCTTTATCGCTAAATAGCTATATATATATATTTTTTTTTTTCTATTGTATTTTTTCTATGTGCACAATAAAGAGTCTATTGTTATTATCAACGTACCTGTCGAATACCATCAGTCAGATGTGGATGTAAAATCTGGCCCTTAATTTTGTAAGACAAGTTTGATTTCTCTTGTGGACCTTCCAGTATGCTATTAAACAATTTACACGCTACCCTCTCAGAGAAACCTTCAATCATTTCCAGGTCACCGATACACTTTAACTGACCATTTTCACTTTTCCATTGTTTCACCCTTTTTAATTTCGCTTTAGCTATATCATATCTGAAATATTATTCACATTGCATAAACAAAAGATTTTTGGTAACCATTAAATATACATGAAGCAAAAAAGTTCTAGCCCTTTTTACGAAATTTACACAAACAGACAAGTATAATATTACACACACTTATAGTTTATATAAAAAAGGAGTGTACAAAGCAAAATTTTTATTAAAATAAGCATAAAAAATATATTAAATTAAAACAATAAAAAAACTTTATTTTTCATTTATTTATATAGAATAAATACTTAAGCAGTGATAGTGGCAGAAGACGGAAGAGACTCTTAACCTATAAGAAGAAGGGAAAAGGATTGTTAGAAATGGGGAATAGTAATTCCATTGCAATAATTTGACATGTCCCGCCTGCAAACTATGGTTCTATAACTATTCCTAGTGAAATAATCACAATGGGCTAACTGGCCTAATTTTATGATCATCCTTCACTGGTCCTGCCAGCATAAACCGTTAGCACAGACAGGTTCATGATTCCATTATCATCCATTAAAAAACCACAAGAAAAATAAACAAACTAAGTTTAATATAAATATGATCATAGTTATGTGATTTAATACAGCTATAGTGTAATAATATAAATACCTGGGCAGTACATCAGGATCAGTGTCATTTATAACCTGTAAAATTTTTGATTTTTCTTCTACAGAATACTTTTTTTCAAAGTTGTGACTGAAGGCGCATTTCGGCACAAGCACAGCACAATACCTAGAATACTGTAATAATTAAATTATCCAAGGATTAATAGAATAGAACTGAATAGAAAATTCCTTATTCAAACTTACATTTAAGCAATTTTGAATAGTCATATTTATTTTTTTAATCTTGTAATGTGTGAATGCAATCTACATGTGTAATTGCAACTAGCAATATTTAAATTTAAAAAAACATGTTAAACATGTTAAACTAACCAAAATTCTTAAAGGTAACATAGGAAGATTTTATATATACTGTATAATTTAGTAGAAAATATGACAAATTTAAAATATACACATTTCATTGAAATATCAGAATATAGGAACTTATTATTAAAAGTTAATTCGGATTCATATATTTATAATAATAATAACATTATCAATTGAAAACTTTAAGCAAACAGCTGACACAAAAAGACAGTTCAGATTGACGTAGACTAAGGTGAGTGACGTGTAGATAATAATGACAGAACTTGACAATTTACCACATATGACAGTGATAGCTACAATGTGTCAATTTTGGGACAACAGTTCAACCTGAATAATCTGTAGAAAGAAACCCATACGAGCTAATCTATTTTACATCTATTTGGTATGTAGACGTAGCGACAATTATCCTTTTCCGGCATATAATGATCGTTTGTATAACGATTACAAAAAGAGATTAAGAAGATATTCATCCATCGCATGCTGCTACTCCTTTATATTATCTACACATAGCAACATAACTGCAATGACAAACTCTCTCAAGAAGCCAAGTTATCATACATATTTTATTTTTTATTATTTTATGTATAACCATTTATGTTATACCTACATTAATATTTCCATAAATGAAACTGTCGAAACTGATATCAGATGATATGAAGCATCCAGGGCCGTAAAAACCATAAAAAAACTCATGAATCCAACAGATTTTTTCGTAACTTGAACTTTAAATTATACAGAAAGGATAGACAGTATGCATCAAAAATTCGTAACTAATGCTTAATACAAGTGTAGTGTTGGTTACATTCAATTTTAAATTATAACACCAATAGAAGTAAAAACATATGAATATCTACAGCATTGTATAAAAAAATGGAACGCGAACAAAAAAGTTAGGTAATTAGAGTCCCGTTTCTAATTACCTTTTTAGGTCTGAAACTCTGAACGGAATCCAAGCAATCTCTCTACTTATAAAAATGAATAGACAGCGCCATCTTGTTTGAGATATAAAGATTACGTCGGCTATGTCGTGAGCACCTGTAGACATCTATGCTAAACCTATATAAAATTAAAATTCAAAATGGAATTCATGAAGGAAGACTACTGTCCGAAGGGAGTTGTGGTGACCATAAAGTCTATATTAATTTCATTTTATGTTTTATTACGTTCTTTAGTATATGTTAGTCTTTAAGTTATATATAATAGGGGCCAATACTATTATATAATAATATTAAGTTGCCTGAAACAAATAAAAAATATAATGTTTGGTCACTTCACATTTGACATAAATGAATACTTATAGATTATTCTAATTAAACTTTCAAACACAAATAAGAATTGAGATTTATTATCTGAAAATACGAAATATTAACTCCTTGCAAAAAATATAAATATTTAATAGAAATACCTAAATAGGTATTTAGATATGTTTATAGAATATATATTTTTTTTAAATTGTGCTTAAGCCTGGTAATCAATAGCAAGCAAATAGCAACATTACGTGCTAAAATTATGTTTACAGATAACTATAAGCAAATTTAAATATAGAATTTACCAACAGATGTCGTTACTTTAACAATGTTCGAGTCACAGATGCAGTACATATATAATAAATTGCGTAAGTTAGAGATAAACTTTTTTTAGTTGATTACATTTTGCGAGATTACATACAAAACAACAATAAATAAAAGTAAACAGTCATTATCCATAGCAGAGGGAGAATTGCCCAGAAATAATACTATACCTATTTTCCATGATGGTATTGACCACAAACACAGGAATCCCAATAGACCTGCAGTTACCTGCACTTTGATCTTGCATTGTTTTTAAGAACAGTAAAAAAAAAGTAGTAATGTAATAATTTCATTTTATTAAATGAAATATGCAATAATTGAAGTGACATTTTTGTCATATTATTGATTTACATTTTTCACATCATGGAGGTAAGCTAGCTACTTTCCAGTGGCACTTTCAAGTTTCAATGTACCTATTGTCACAAAAGAGGTAAAATCTATACTGAGTGATGTGCTTTTTAAAATTAACTGTTGATCTACTAACGATAATTAATTATTAATATTTCTTGTCTAATTTATCGAAACTCTCGAACAAACTACCTACCTAAGAAAGTAGATACCGACTTCAATGTTTTAATATTTAATTTAAATAATAACTTCATAGAACCTCAAATGTAGTAAAACAAAACGAATGCACGACTAATGCAACGAACTCATTAGCAAAATAGTACCAAAGCTTAATTATGCAGAAGAGACAAAGAAAGAAAAAGAAAGAATGAGTAACTTTAGAATAAAGTAGTAGGTACTTATACCCACATAATACAGATAATTCTACCTGCAGAAGAACCACATTAAAAATACGAAGTACAAAGAATAATGGCAAAGAGATATGGCCATCTCTGTCTGGCTCGCGAAGCGATGTACGACAAGATGGCGCCCGTACCGACCGCAGGTTGTGATTCGTGAAATATCCAGCTGTGCATTCGATCATCCTTTCTCCTTCGTGAAGGTATACGATTGCGGTTTACGATCTTCAGCTACTGCTTCTGAATCATCAACCCGTTTTAGACTTCTGGAAGTGGGTAAGTTCTACTTAGGTATAATAATTAATATTTTTTTATTATAGCTTGTTGCGGAAGCAGAAACAGAAGTTTCATTCTATAATAATGTAGAATGTACCTTCTCTGGTATATGTAGGTGGTTCTATAAATTACTATGCTTCGTTTAAAGATTTTATGTTATTTAGATTTTCTGGGGATGATATGGAGATTTTTGATCTTTCATAGTTTGTTTTTGTTTTTATTGAGAGGATTAGGCTGTCAGTTGCTTAGACCTGATACCTACAGGAATCTATTGGCCTTTAAAGTTAGTTTATTAGATTATTTCGAGATATTTTTGATAGATAATTCCCAGTAAATATAGTCTATATTTACTTGGGCATTATAAACTCGAATATTATAGTCAAATCAGCATTTAAAAATTCGCCATTTCATTTTAGTGTTCGATAATATTCTAACCATTGTAAGGTAGAAGGTAGAGTAGACAGAGATAGGTATGTCAGATCATGCCAAGCCAGACTGCCGAGCACTACCGCTGTTTATACAATAGAGTAGAGAGAATTTATTTGCCAGAACTGGTAGAGCGGCAACGTCGCATTAAGAGTTTCGTTCAACCCGGTAGACCGGCACTGTTGCCGTACTGCACTCTCGTGATCGCGTTCGCCACTGCTCACTGGAATGATAACATTCAATTCAATATTGAAAGTTGAAGTCAGTTAGCAGTCGTAGAACATTTAGTAGTACTTGATATCATTGACCATTTAATAATAGTTTCTTCAAGTAAAACATATTACCTGTTTAGTATGGCAGTACTCTCTAATGCACATGATAACTTATCACGATTGGCAAATTAGCATAAATAGAAAATATAAATTTTAGAATGCTCTTTCTTTTTCCGACGTTGCCAGTCTTAACATGTCAATCAATGACTTCATACCGTGTCGTCATTATAACTCATTTCTTGATTATTCTGTTCAATCTCACATAATCATAATATTCTACTCTATAAAAGCTATCAGATTTTTGTTATGTTTTTCCTAAGTCTGTTACTTTAACAACAAACTATATTAATACAAAAAGCATTCCTTATCTTAGATTAGTTTGACTACCACATACATTATGAACGTCATCTATCAGGAATCATACGATCGTCCCTTTCGCTCTCATTTATTTCTCAATTGCTGTAGTATTCCTGTTTCATTCATATTCGTCTTTTAATTCTCCCACACCCTAAATATCTACGCAGTATGATCCTTCTGGACTCCTCGATTCCAAATATGACAATGGTAATCATTCGTTATGATTTCAATTTATGTGAGTGATCCGTAGAATAAAAATATTCGAATAACATATCAGTACAAATTAGGTGATTAATTTTGAATTTATGCCGTGAACAACACTAAATCTTTATTTTTTATGAACTTTATAAATAGCCTACCTGTTCAGTTTCTATCAATTTAAGTGTGTATTCAGAATGAAAATCAATTTCTAAAACTGCACCGTTTGGCTTTCTACTAAAGTTTGGTAATCAGATTTTTGTTTATTCAAAACAAAACTGTACGTGTTATTATTAATTCTAAAGACGACATATGCTATTTCTACCTTGTCATACACAATCTGGTACAACTCTATCACTCGTTGCGATGTTATTATTACTTGCATTACCATGTATGCTCACATAGCGCGAAGGATCGTTCTATAATAATTTACGGGACACGCCCGCGCAATGTACTCGAACCTAAATTTTTTGATCGCTGTTACGTAGTGTTGACGTTAAGGGCAATCGGTTTTAGATGAATTATTAATTAATTTACATTTACTTTTTTCTTGCTTCTTTTCTTTTTATTTAATGCACTGTCGTTTTATTTAAATTGGTTAACATAAGACAAGGCAAACATAGTTTGAATTCTAATTGTACTCTATTAGTTTTACATATTTGAATATTACATCAGTACATCTGTTGCGTTATATAGTTATTTCAGTATCTTATCATGACAATTCATTATCGTCCCACTGTTGGGCACATTGAAGTAGTATTATCTTTGTACGTAGGAAGAGAACGCTTTTTATACAGGTATTGTTTTACTTACGGTGTCTTCTTTTCATGGTCCTAAATAATAAACTGTATACTGTTCTTTTGGTTTAAAACCAAGTAATTGAATCATCTGTATTGTTTTTAAATCAAAATCTATAATAAAATTAGCACCTCTACAACAAAATGTCTCTATATCATTACTTGTCTATTAATCAGTTGTTACAGAAGAACTTCTTCTGTCACAATTTTAAGTATTTTTCCTAGAGCTGCCCTATCTATTTTTATGATGACGTAATTCGACATATATAGTGGATTCGGCTGTACTCGGCTAAACTCGACTTGGATTCGGCATCGAGTCAAACGACCTGACTCGACGCGAGCGTTTATAAAAACGGAGCGGCAACATCGCATGGCCAGCCAGAGTCCTCAATAAGACCACGGTACTAAATTGGGTATTTTTACGTTTTACACCCGTTTCCACTCTTGAAGTCTCTCTCTAGTAAGGATAAGAACCTTTCTAATGATCTGCCACATTCTTCTGAAGAATCAAACTGGATAATAAACTAAATTGTATAGAAACATGATTTGTCAATGCCATATTGACGATGTACTTATTTGAGAGGACAAACTCTGTTTTTGATAAAACTATTTAGAGAACTAGATGGTTAAAACCTAGGATTAATGAAAACACACAATACTTGTCTATTTTGTCCGTTTTCTTTACTGAACCTGTCTATCAGCCTATATTATATATACAATAGTCTTTAGTTTTATAGATAGAAGTTTAGAACATAACAACAGTAGACTATAGACTAAAATTTTTAAGACTACATAGTTTGTGCGACCGCTAAGAACAAATGATCAAATTTGGATTATGCTGACATTAACAGAAGTAGAACGCAAGAGAACGAGAATCATATCTATGTGACCTCGCTTGATATAGATATATACATATATACATCGCCTACGTACTCATGGCCTACAGAGTAACGAACGTGTAGAAGGTTAACGATCTCCATTTCTGCGACCGATAGCCGCACCTTTTCGTACACTAGCGTTTATCGATTGCGCTGTCTCGCTTGCCCCGACATTATTATATTTAACAGGCCACTACGTAGCTTCTGTCCATTGCTTACTCTGTATATTATACTTCGTGTACTCATCACGAAGTATGTCGTAGTCGCCATGTTGCGTCCGCCATTTTCTTCTCTCTCTTTCTGCTTGTCGCCAGTGCTGTTAGAACCGCGTAACAGAGTACTCGTATCGTACAATTAAAAATCTTCTCGGTTATTCTTCTTCTTCTGGAATCTCTTGCTCAATCATATTCGGTAGGTACCTACTTACAATTTATTATGGAATGTTGTAATAAATTAAAATATTTGATTTATTATTTATTATTACATTGAAATATTTGGTTATTGTATGTGCAGATCTTTTTGTTTTATTACTGACAGTGAATAGTTTTATATTATACTTTCAAATTTTTATATTCTGTTGATTTTTTATGTCTACCGACAATTTTAATTTTTGGCAAGTATTAACTTTATTATTCTTGAATTTTCAAGTACGCTGTAGGTATGTATGTTGTCTTTCTTATGACCTTTTGTATAAACTAATATGGTCTTTATTTCGCCGGCTACAGTGTTCAGTTCTGTATGACTACAAAAAATGTTTGTGTCAATAAGAATTTGAAAAAGATCATAGATTGTAAACCTTTGGTTTTAAACATTTATTATTATATAAGTATTATTTAAATTGTACATAATTTCTGAATTTTCTTGGTCAATTACCTCCATTAGGTAATTAAAAATATATATACTTTTGATGTCTGTGTTGATCGAAAAAAAAATTGAATTAAATTTCTAAGAGACGGATACGGAAACAATTTTTAATAAAAAAAAAATAAAGGTTTCACTTTTCAATTTTAAATATTTGTTAAATTATTTTAGGTCAGTAGTTAGTAACTTCTTTCTAGTCTTTTTTTATTGACCTACTTGTAGGAGTATCTAACCAATAAAAGTCACGATGACCTGTAACCTACGTAGGTAAACAATAGTAAGACAAAATATCTAAAAATAAGCATTCTGAATAATTGTTGCAAAACTAAAAATAATTCCCAGTCTTCTTTGAGCGAAGTAATGAGTTAGAACGTTTTCTGGTTTTCGTTCGATAACCCTCTGCTCCGTTCCACCTTCACCTCATTCGTTTTACATCGGCTGCATTCCCGACCTATTTCCATCTCACTCTTACTCGCGTAGCTAGCATGGCTTTCGAGCGTGATAGTGAGTATCAGGAGTTTCTACTTTGACTTGGCGATCACCGTGCAGCTCAACACCAAGTGAGTGGGAAATTTAATTCCGGTATTTCGCGCAACAGACCGTCCGCCATTTTGAATTGGCGTTCTATGTTAGCATACATACTGTCATGAGCAAATATCAAATCTGGTTTACCTCTTTATAATCATGTTTACATAATTTTGTAATTATTTTGTATTGAATTTTCCTTTTTTACTGTAATAATGATACCAAATTAGATCTTTCCGCATATACAAATATCAAAAGATCTACTTGAAAAGATTTTCTAGTGCTATAGTATTTTCTAGATAGAGACCTAGAGATGTAGGTTACTGTGGCTCTAGTTATTTATTAGCTAGATTTATTTGTTTCGAGAATTCGGTAAAGACCTCACCTGGTTGATAAATCTTCAAAGCTTTTACATCTTCTTTAAATGTTTTAACTCTTTTTCATTTAAGTACATTATTATAGAAACCTACTGTATTGGCATATTTAGTTCTTTTCACCAATCATTTTTATCATCGACAATGTTCACTCTATTTCTTCTCGAGACATTTTAAGTAGTCTATATCTAAAAGTAAATTAATCTATATCTGTATTATCTATTTATTTATATCGGGTTCTTATAACGCCACGGACGAAACGGTATTCTTATCGTCCCGGGGGTGGAGGGAGGTAGGCTATTCTTTATGTTTGATGCGGAAACCATACTCTGACCCGACAATAAAAGGAAGAAAAAAGCTCTATGATAAGGCTTCACAGTTAAAGTTAAAATGATCAGTAGTTTCAATCATTCGGTTAGGCAAATGTCTAAATCTTTTCCAATTATATTACTGATCTCGAAAACTCTGTTCAAACTGTCCGTGTTGGTAATCTCAAACTCTGATCACACTATATTTCAAGATAAAATAGACTTAAGAGCAAACCTGTTTCCAACAACATTTAACTTTTTCATTATTAACGGATAAAATTCTTATATACATTTGTTTATTTCCAGTGTCAAAATTATTAATAACTTTTGACTCGCTTTCTATTCGACCATCTTCTTCAAACCAATCCATTTGAATTAAAACTATATGATACCAAGTTACAGTGCTCTTCTTGTAATAATAAATATCAATCACTGAGTGCCCGAGGTATAGTGGATTTACTATTAATGAATATACAGACGTTCTAGTTAAAAGCGCCATATTATCGATGATATGATGTAAATAAAATTAATTTTCATAACGTTTTTGCTCTAATTGAGTTTTTTTTCGATCTATTGAACGCAGCTGGCCTTTACAGCTTGAAAGAACGATAGGGGGCCAGTATAGATGACACTCCAAACCCGCGGCAGTTATGTATTATGGAGCGGCTGAAGGCCAACTCCTGCCGATGACCCACTTTTTCGTTGGAAAGACGAATAAGATTCTTCAAGACACTTTGTATACAATTTTTTTGTATCTTATTTCTCTCATATTATCTTATTTCCTTTAATATTGCCACTTTTATATTCAATCATTAAGTCTGCTTATTTGTGTTAGAGTTTATATAAGTACTACTGTTCCTTGACATTGAATATTTTTTCTAATTTAATTATAAATACACATTCAACTGATATGTTCTTTTATTTAGCTAGTTTGTTGATTACGTAACTTTTAGTCTTGTAAAGTTCAATCCATTTTTCATTCATCCTATCTATTTTAACATATAATACATGCTGTTACTGCTGTCTATCTTCATGCCAGGTCTTTAAGGTCTTAAACTTTTACAGAATTCTTTCACATTAATATCGTCATTACCGTAAACAGCATAGTAGTCAGCGTAGCTCTATCTGGTACCTACTCCTTTCATCTGAACCAACGTGACATGCCCTTTCGTTAGTTATAATTTCTTTGAACTCAACTCACACACCTAATATTAGGAATCCGATCTGTCCGCTTTAGTCCGCAGATTCTGCGCAATGCTAGCTTTATCTCCTTTATTCCTTTTCAGCCAACCTTCGTTAAACGCTACCTTATAGCGTGGAACAACTATGAATCCTTTTTGCAGTGCATTTAGCGCCAGTTCATTCTATTCCTCACATTCATTCATCTGTCTATTTCAAATGTCATTTTTATTTTTAGTAATTTTCAAAACTCAAAAAGAGTTACAATAAAAACATCCATACGAGATATCTAATTAAAATCCATGCCTTTATTTCTATTTCAAACCGTAAACCGATTATGCGTTGTGAAAACTTATTCAGTTTCCGTAAGTATTATCATAGATATACACAAGGAATATAGGTACTCTAAAATCGTATCTATCAAGAGGGAGTTAACCTTCCGCCTCTCCATAAATCCTTGTTCGTGAATCCGGTCACCTGCTGTTAACAGCATTAGAATAGTGCCAATATAAAAGAAATAACTTTAAAGTAATAATAACTTTGCTTACCAAAAAGTATTAAATTGATATAGGCAATGCACGGTAACGGTAATAAATATTTTCAGAAACTCATGAACTCTTGAAAATCTTGATTGTATCAACTGTAAGATTCTCTGGAGAAAGTTGTCACTAGATAATAGTTATATTATTTTTCTTTCCTTTATTTGCAAATTAGCAATTTAAAATTAGAAGAGTACCAATAATAAATTTTATTCTATGGTTAACTAAAAAGATGGCCACATATTATTTATTCCTTGTTATTTTAGTTGAAAATTGTATAGTATCACAACGAAAATCTTTTTGTGTAATTAAATGGATTTGCGTAGTAAACTTAAATGTACTTACTTATTTTTTGTTGGCTTTAATATGTCAATACTCATAAATTATGAATATTTAAGTAAGTGTTCTAAGTAAGTTAAGTTTTCGTAGTCCATTCAGAGTCCATTCCACATAAACTCTATATTAATATGCATTGGTGCGGGAGTGGTGATAAAGTATTCTGTCTCCACAGCTCTCTCTTCTCTGTCTTATTTATATAGATACCACTTTACTTTTAGATCTAGCATACTGCAATGTCGAATGCTTTTAATCTTTTGATGTTTCATGTAGCGTTCACTAGATGTCACTACCTGATGTTGACATTGACATTATAGTATAGTCCCAAGCCTATCCTATCAAAAATCACCATATTTAGTGACATAGACAAACCTATTTGTGTTGTGACTGTCATAAATATGAAATATTGTCAAAATAATTAATAATTCTCTTTTGTATGTATTGAATATTTCAATGAAATAAAAAATAATTTTCTCGCATTACATTTAAAAATCTTTGATATTGTGCGGTTTGTTCCAATTGTTTTTTTGTGATATAGTTAGCAGTAATATTTTGTATTGTCCATAACCTATTTCTATTTCAAATTTTCGAAAATTACGTTAACATTGCTTTTTTTTATTACATATTAAAACAAAATGTTCATTACTGTTTCGTATTGAGGTACGTTATTTTTAAAATTGTGCAAGTACACGGGTAATATAATAGTGTTAAAATTAAGACAAAATATTAATTAACAGTGCATAATGTAGCGAAATTGAGTTTGACAGATTGTCAAATTTACTGTTTTTGCAACTTATATCTGCCGGTTTCGAGACCTAATTTACATGTACATAATATAATAAGATTTACCTGCTTAGTAATATGTTCTTTACAGTAGCACTAAATTTCTAAATTGGTTCATTTCAAACTTGATAACGTAATAGGGTCTAGACTTGTGTAGTTCATTAACGATCGTTCGTTAGAGCATAGACGAACTATAGCAACAAGTTCCGAAGTACTTTCGCTCTTCAGTGCGATTCATGACTGCATTATAATAAAAAAAAATTAGAGCTCATAATTAGGAGTAAACACTAGAGGACTATAGGTTGGCCTGTACTACCTTTCTCTGAAATGAGTTCGAAATACGTAAACTAAAAGAATGAACTAACACACAATAGAGCATACTTGACTGCTCTTCATCACAAACTGGATTAGATGTCTGGATTGGTTTTATTTGTGACACATGTATGTTTAAAGGGTCAATCTCCAATGCACATCAACACACACTTAGACTACTTATGTAGATGAAGCGAATCCAAATATGTTGATTTCTTTTCATTTCACTTCAAAATTAGTATATTGGCATTCCAAATGTGTTCTTTTATAGTAAAAGAACAAAGTACCTAATATGTTTTATAAGTATAAAAACATTATAAATAGCTTGCAAGGATTTTGAATGTATTACTGTTTAATGACAATGGAATATAATAAGCAAATATATTGTCACACTGGGGTAATCAGAGGCAATGTCAACTTGATGTTGTGAATAAACAATTGACAGTGCCCACATGTCTATTTTTAATCTCAGAATCCTACTCCTATCACATTTCTGGTTTGGCAACTGATTTCCACTGACAGCATACAATTAAGAGTATATATATATGTATTTTATGTGAATATTTTAAAATTGTTAATGATATACTGTAGTAGTCATGCTCACTAAAATAGCCAAACTTGTGGCGTGTGTGTGGTGGGCCGGGTTATTGGGCTCCCTAAAATATGGTCGAGCGCAGTGATGGCTGGCTCATCCGTCAATCTGTCTGGTCTGCTCTAATCACTATGAATGATTTCCTCTTATTAATTGTTTAACCAGTTGGTTATATATTTTTTCTATTTGAGTATTTAATTGAATTAGTGCTAATTGGTGACTTGTATTCACACACTTAAACTTAAAAATGTAAAGTAATAATAAAATTATTTGAAAGAGCAACACGCAACTTTCTTACTCATTCTTTTTGTGATTAGACAGCTTTCCGAATGAGCGGTAGATTAAAAAAAATGTAATGACTATTCAAAAGTGCTTTAATGTAAGTTTATTTCTTTAAATGATTTTCATCCATTCCATTCCATTCTACTGTACAACTGCATTTCCAGTTTGTGATTCTTTTTGAGGTTTACTCAATAGCATAGATTATAGTATTTAATTTTTTACATATGTGGGATTTCTCAGAATGTATTGTCACTGTCTACAAATACAATACAGCAGCTACCAACCAACATGATGATATAATGAATATTATTTTGTTTTCTTTTCAGATGTACTACCTCTTCTGATGTCACAAGGGACATGATTTACAATGCAATTAATATTAGATCTTGAACCCACTACAGACATTAAGAGAAACATGTCAAATCTAGATCAAGAATCTCTGATTGAAAAACTTGACAATGTTATACAGGATCTTAAAGATGGTTTTTGTAACAATGGTAACAAAGAAAATATACAGACACAGGGCAATGTGATAGTTGATGATGATAAATCTAATGGTAACAACATTGTTTTAACACAATCACCATTAAGCAATGATAGCACAGATACAAAAGATGTATCACAAATTGCTGAGGAAAAATCTAGTATTATGGATGACAAATTAGAAAATGAAGAAGAATCGAAATCTGTTATTACAAAGGAAAATAATGATTCCAACAGTGAAAGTAATGAAATACTTCTCGAAAAGGAAACCAAAATACATGCAAATGAGAAAGAAAATTTAGTTATTAATGAGACATTAGAAGATAAACCAGTAGAGCATGTAAATAAAGAACAAGTGGTAAATAATTCCGAAAATTATGAATCCACAAACATTGAACTGGATGATGCAAATGTAATTGAAAGATGCCCTGCAGAAGACAATGTACCTATTGTTGATGAGCAATTAAATAATTCACAAAATGAGCAAATAACGAAAAATGATAGTAATGATGAATTATCTCCGGAAGATAAAGTAAATAAAATTGTATCTGATGACGAAAAATTACCTGAAGTAGAAGATGTAGATGTAACTATTGATAAGGAAATGGCAGTTATTTTAAAAGAACATGAAACAAATAAGGAAATACCATCAGATGACTATGAAGTAAGTAAAATAGCATCAGATAGTTCTAAAATAATGGAAGGAAATACTGTAGAAGCCAATCCATCATCTATCGAAAAATTAGAGGACACAGTAACAAATCAAATAGATAACGAAAAAAACAATAAAATACTTTCAAAAAGTAAAGATAATCTAATTGTGTTGGACGATAAAAAAAATATTGAACAAAAATGGCTAGGAGAGAACAGAACAAATGTTGATAAAAAAGTGGAGTGCGAGTTAAAAGAGCATATAAACAATAAATCAAGAGATAAAATATCCTTAGACAGTAATAAGGAAAATAAAATTGAATTGGAAGGCGAGAAACAGATTGAAAGAGAGAATACAGAAGGCAGTGAAAGTATAAAAACAGTCACTACTAACTGTGAAAATCCTGAAAAACAAAATGATTCTTATATGGAAATAGATAGTGAAAATGAGAACGATAATAAAATTGCATCTGATGAAAAGAGAAATGAAGAATTTGTAATGGAAATTAACAACGTGCTTAGTACACAAACTTGTGATAAAGATATTGAAGTAATTTGTACAGATAAAAGAAAACAGAGTATGGAAAATGTAGAAATCAAGAATAATAGTATTAAAAAGAAACAATTAAATGATGTGTCAGATACAGAAATTGAGGAATCAAATATAGTCAGTAATTTAGGGCAAGATACATCAAATGTGGATGAAATTGATCTTGTAAAGACTCCTGAGCCAACAATAATTAAAAAACAAAGGGAACCAATGGAGGAAACTAGTACTAGGTCATCAATATTGAAGTTATCGAATACCCTTAATATCCTATCGGATGAAGAGGATGACCCTCCTGAAATAACAGAACAAAATAATATTGGGGGAATTTCTACTGAAAAACAGTGCATTAATATTGATGATGATGATGACATTATGCTAATAGATGAAGATATAAATAGTAAAGAAATCAAAAATGAAACAATAAAACCTGCAATAATAATGGCTCAAGTTAAAGTAAACTCTGATTTTCATGACACATTGAATAAATCTGAATTGGAAAAAACATGTTCTTCTGAAACTATAATAACAGGTACATTTTTATATTTAATAAAGTACAATATACATTTTATATGTAATTGGAATGGCAAGCATAGCAATGTCCAATCTTGAAATTTATTAAGGGTTAACGGTAGACCCTAACTGCTAACCAGTATACTACTGGAACAGGAAAAAATTATGAATTAAGGGTAAGCGCATTGTGGCGAATTAACCACAACGGTTTTTATGGAGGTTGAATTAATTTGCTACATTGCTAACATAGGCCTAATAGTCACTGATACTAACAATTCCCATTCTCTTTGATGTTATTGGTTATAAATTCAAATTAAAAAATCATTTATATTTATTGTAACACAAATTTTGAGCCACTTATGAACTTAAAATTTTTTTTTATGTTTTTTTCTACGTACCTTTATGTACATAAATGACGATACATAGGTCAAGTAGTCCTGCAGGACTAAGGCCTGTGCCTCTGAACCCTGTAGTTTCACTGGCACATATTACCCCAACCAAAACACAGCTTACAAAGCAAGCTACTAGGTAATGATAGGTGAGACAAAGGTTTGTTACCACGATTTTGTACTAAGTCTACTTAGATCCAATATTAATAATTCTGCTTATATTAATTTCAGAACATGAACCTATTGAGAATTTGGAAGAGAAAAAAACTGAAGACATTAGTCAACAACAAGGTTCTGAAAAAACTAGCAATATTACTGAAGTTGTAGATAACCCCGACGAAGATAAACCCCTAGTTCCAGATAATTTTCTAAAGTCATATAAAAAAAGCTTAAGTGATATGACAAGAGAGGACTTAGAAGAATTTTGTGTATTAAAAATTGTTGAAAGCATTGTAGACAGAAGTAACTTAAGTGAAATTAAAGTAAAATTAAAATCATTGGCTCAAAATGTAGAAGAGTATAAAAAAAAGGCTATGATGTTAACAAAACAAAATCGTGATCTTCAATTAGTATTAAAATCTGTTCAAGAAGAACAAAAGAAACGAGAGGACACTGTTATAACACCCTTAAAAATAACGCGGTCAGTTGGTATGCAAGTTTTAATGACGGAAAAACCAGGCATTAAAAGAAAACCGCTTCCCTCATCAGCAGCAACTCCTAATAATAGTAACAGCCCTAACACCAGATCAAGCCGACCTCCCGGTTTAAGTCCAAGAACTATAAAACCCATTCCACCTCTACAAATACCTGTCCCAAGACTTGTGCCAGCTTCAAACAGCACTGTCATGAAAACCCCTGTACCTATATCCCAGGGTACATCAAAAGTTCCGGTACCTCCATTGAACGGTATTAAAAATTCTCCACCAGCACAAAAAGCTGAGAAACGGCCACATAACAAAGTACAAATGTCAGTTACTGTAGACTTGACTGATGATGAGCCACCATCTAAAATACCAACTAGAAATTCTCCAGCACCACCAGTACGATTGGTGCCATCTCAAAATCTTATGGCTCCACAAAGACAACAGTTGTCTCAAAACACTCCTAGGAAAGTATATATACCCATTAGTGGTCCACAAGGGAACCTTAGACCAGGCCAGACAATCATGCTAAAGTCAGCGCCAACACAAAGTGAGTATTGTTGTATTAAAAGTAGTTCTATAGTAGTGACCAATAACCTTATTGTATTATCATAAATGCAAAATTCTATTTCAGATCTAAGACCAAGGACTCCAACACCTCAGTTAGCAAGAATGCCACATAACCAAGTTAGGATGTCCAGAGTACAAAGCAAGCATCCAGCTCCTCTCCCTGATGCTATGAAGCAATACCAGCCTCCGCATTGGAAGTCTTTGCCGCCAGCGCCTGATCTCAAATTATCGAAAGTGGAGAATGGAATAGTAATATCATGGAAAATTGAAGGTTATTTAGAAGATAGTTATGAAGACATTGCTAGTTATCAACTATATGCCTATCAAGAAACTTCATCGCCTCCTAGTTCTGCATTATGGAAAAAAATTGGTGATGTCAAAGCACTTCCTTTACCAATGGCGTGTACCTTAACTCAGTTTATGGCAGGTTTCAAATACTATTTTGCTGTAAGGGCTGTTGACATTAGATCTCGTCTAGGTCCTTTTAGTATACCGGGAAGTATACTTCTCTTGAATAAAATGTAAGACTGATGTTTTTTTATTATAATTGACTGGTTAATATGGGTGCCTACAATGTTATACATTGTGGCGTAAATGTAGGATGCAAGTGAGAAATTATAATTTAGTTATTTATTTTATATTGTGTACAGAGCATGATTCTCATAGTTGTATTTTATGACTTAAGTCTTATTTTTAATTATTGCTGTTGTAAAAATTGTTCATTATCCGTGCAAATATGATAATGACATGTTAGATACCTACATAGCAAGAAAATGTAAATAGCTAGCTGAATTAGAAAATTTAAAGTAGGTAATCACATGGATAATTCTATTAGTAAAAAGAAGTTTGTATAATCTTTCGATAGAATCAGACCCGATTGATTACAAGACAAATCAATGTTATTTTAAATATAGACTGATTGGACAAAACGTTATTTTATATTTTTATAACAGTTACAATAATAGTATGCGTTGATACGTATTTTTCTTCAGTTCATATATACTTCAGATTACCAAAAAATAAAATATATCCAGTAACTGTCATTTGGTAAATTTTAAATAAAAAGTGACTATTACATTTATTATTGTTTTTTATTCAGAGAATCCACCATCATTGATTTTATGTGATTCCATTCTACTATATATATATTCAGTGTGGACTTTATGGTATGTGGTTTTTGTTGTTTTTCATTGGAAAACATTATATACCCCCGGCGGACAAGACACAGGAAATAAATTATATCATAAATAGAGAAAGATAAAGTAATTACTAATCGAAGTTTCAAATACGACTGAAAAAATACATTTATTCGATATTATTTCTATCCTCAGAAATATTTAGTTGAAATATTTCTGAGGGTAGAAATAATATCGGTATTGTACTTCTTGAATCAAGTAGTTGAAACAAAGATGAATTAGGCTATTAAATTCGCAGATATCTCAATATTTATATTATTAACAAAAAATCTTGTAAGGGTTTTTTGTTAATAATATAAATATTAACTTTTCTCTAGTCTCTAGTCGCTCTAAAGTCTAGATACAGACGTAATCTATATTTAATCTTGTCACTGAACAAGTAAAAACATATAAACGTACCATATTTTGTACCATAAACGTAATTTAGCGACTAACGAGTGAATAATGTAAATGTAGGTAGCGCCACTGTGTTATGACACAACAGACGTATAGCATATAATAGTATGAAACCATAGTTCTTATAATTTTGTTTTTGTGTCTTAGAGCGATATGTAGACGCGCGTAATTAATTAATTTTAGTAATTACGGTAAATTTTTACAGTTAAAAATAAAAGTGCAAATGAAAAGAACAAGGCTAAAATATACATTTCCAAGTCACAACATAAAAAATAAAAAGTACAAATAATCGTCACTGTCAAGATGTCAAAGTCAGCAGTTTGACATTACAAGTAGTTCACGGGACGAATCTTAATTCCACTCCATTTTCATTCCATACACAAAAACATAACCAGTTTTCTTTAGTTTCGCGTCCTAATATGATCTCCTGTAGTCAGTTGAGACTTTAATTTTGTAATATCAAAAGGAATCAAATATTTAATGGTCTGCTACAGCTTAATTTTTATTAATAATGTTGTATTGTGTTCTCCGATTAATTTTGAAAAGAATCAAATTCTGTAAATTGAGATAACTTGATGTAAATAGTTGACAATACATCGGTTTCGCAAGTAGGTAGAGGTGTTTTATTTGTGTACATTGTGTAAAATATCGACGGGATTTGTTGATTTATGCGGTGTTCTTGGTGTTTTTAGACGAAAATCGTGTTGTTAGTGTTTTAGAGAGATGTGTATTGTGTACTGCTCAATGCTGCAGTGTAAATTGGTGTTGTGTCAGCTATTTGTTTGTCGTTCGAGTCGTGTGAGTGAGCTATGCTGACTCCTCGTCACATCTGCGACGTTGATACTCGGCCGGTATGTATTTAGTATTGCATTAAATTAAGTGGCTTCACTTATCATTACTATATTAATGATTACTGAACAACTAAGTGGAATAGGGAACAAACATACTTTGCATACCTGATTTTGGCACTAAATTAAACATTAATTGGTATTTCTTTATTGATGGCTGATGGTATGGTGATGCAGTTTTTTGTATTATCCTTATATACTGGCACATCACCTCTAAAAGAAGATGATGAAGTCAGGTCAGTTTGAATGGCATATTTATCAGGATTTATTCTCAACGGCTTCCAGGTGGAACCACATGAAGATGAACCTAATAGGGTACACCCTAATATGTTTTTGAATATATTTCTAGCTTGTGACAATTAGTTGATAAATGAATAAATTGGGTCTACCTAATAAATATTTTGATAAAAAAGTTTAATGCTAATTACTTACCTAAACTTTAATATATGTGTAATGTAAAGATGTAGTTTAGTTTTCATATTAAATGTAATAACTTTCATAGCCTAATATGTGCCTGTTAGTATTATATTATTAAATTATCCCTACTTCATATGGAATGAAATGTGTTCACATTAAATCAATCAAAGATAATGTAGAGTTAATAATAATATGTTATTTACTTATAATTTATATTTGTCTATAATATTTCTTCCTTTCCTCATTTTTTACTTCTTTTCTTATCCTTTAACATATATTTTCAGGATCATTCCATTTTTACCTATCTATTAGAATACAGTTATTTATAGCTTTCTTATCTTACTTAATACTAAATATATTTATTATGTTGTACTTTTACACTCCTGACAAATTCCTCTTATTACTGTATTATAATCATAATACCTCACATCATCACCTGCTTCTTCCTTATCCCATTTATTTGGGGTTGGCGTAATATGTATTTCTCTTACATTCCCTGTTTCAACTGTATTATGAATATAGTATATATATTCATGTTAGGAGTACTAAATTTAATTTTTTACATCACTTTTCTCTTGCACCTTCAAGATAGTTCTTAGACATTGACTGGTAAATAATGTATATATTTTTTTTCATGGATGATAATGGAATGGTGCACCCGCCTGCGCTAATGGTGGTGCTGGCGCAGCCTCCCCTGGTGGGGCAAAAGTGGAGGCTGATAAAATGAGCATACCCAGCCAGTTAACCCATCATAACAAGGGGGAAAGGGGATTGTTAGTAATGTGGATTGATAACCCCATTGCTAGCAATGTACAATGTCAGGTTGACCTCCACGAGGTTCCCCCTGGAAACCATCATAACAAATTCCTGGTGAGCTTGTTACGATGGGGTAACTGACCTGACCTCATGCTCATCTTATCATCTTCCACTGGTGCCCCGCCAGCGTAAACCGTTAGCGCAGGTGGGTGCACCATTCCATTGTCATCCAAAAAAAAAAAAACCCATCATAACAAATTCACCAAGAGTTTATTATCATGGTTTCCAGGGGAACCCCTTGGAGGGCAACCTGATATGGTACAAGGCTAGCAATAAGATCATCAGTCCACATTAATAACAATCCCCTTGCCCCATTCTGTATATTATTGTTAATGAGTAAATATTTACACAAAATTCTGTATCTATAGTTTAACAACAAATATGTATGCATATGAAATCACATAATCTCGGTAGGGCAAGTCCCCCACTTGCCCTACTGAGATAATAAGTGCAGTATGTAATCACATATATTATATATTTTTTAATTAGGTATCATTACAACATTTTTTTTAATTGTCATCACTGTCTATGGATATGGTCAACTGTTAGCTGCCAAAATAACAACACTACATCTGCGAGACCAATTACAGGACTTCTCACTATGGGGCTATAGTGTCCAAGTCCAATAATTAGCTCCTCTGCAGAAGAGAGGCTAAGCATAGTTAATATATATATATATATATATATATATATATATATTAATTCTGTAATTATATAGACATTGACTATTCAGTACTCATCTATATTAGATTGATAATAAATGTATAATTACATCAACATATATAATAACTATATACCATTATGTTATAGGTTTATTTTATACATATATATATATATAGATATAAGTATTCCACTGAAGAGCAAGTTAAATTTATTTACTTACTAGATGTGCCCCCGGTTTTACTCACATTAAAGTTCAATAGAAAATATATCCTATGTGTTATTCTATATTAAGTACTGTAAAGTTTCATCAAAATCCGTTCAGTAGTTTTCGTGTGAAGTAACAAACATCCAAATTCCCAAACTTTCGCGTTTATAATATTATCAAGATTTTAAGTTTAATGCACAAATATATAAATATACATATTGCGAATTTAACACCAAAGGGCCTCTAACAATCAACCGCAAGGCAAACTGAGATATTAATAAGTGGCGCATTATAGTTAACAAACTCTGTGGTAACTTTTCGTCAAAACTACACATACACATAAACTATATACAATATACCTAATTCATTAATAACTAGATGTTCCCGAGACTTCCTCCGCGTGGAATTTAACTTCATTTTTCTAAAATAAAAGTAACCTAAGTTACTCATTACATCAGCTACCTGCCAAAAAAGTCCTGTCAAAATCGGTCCAGCCATTTCAGAGATTAGCCGGAACAACCAGACAAAAAATGTTATTTTGTTGTATGTACCGGATTTATATTTACATGCATATAGTAAAAATGGTTATTTCAATATTACAAACCGACACTGCAATTTTATTTCTGTGTATAGATATGTAGATGGGACAACAATATTGTGGTAAATGCATCACTTGACATGGCCACATTGTCTAGATATATTTGAATCCAACATAGCACGATATATTAATAATTAATTTAATATTAAATAAGCCTATAGACAAACGGTATTAATCTATTCATAATTTGACCACACACTTTGACCATAAACAAAAGAGTATATACCAATGCCTGTGTGTGTATTTTATATTAATTTAATACCATATTTTATGTTAGCGGTTAGTACTCATTCTACATTCACACATACACCATTATTTAAGTGTGCTAAATTTCATACTCCACCGTCCGCGCAGTTTTCGTTAACAGGTTCGATACAAAGTTTTTGCTTCACGTAGATATAGCTAGTGATGTAACAAAAAGGATTAACTCATTGACAAGGGTAGAAGAAAGCGGTTTCCGCGGCCGGCTTTCATCACTTTCACTTATGGACCGGCGCTAGCGCCGCCCCAAGCTACTTTCGCCTTACTCCTCAGTACTAGACACATACAATACCACTATTCAGCTTCATAGACCATAGCGTCAAGGATGGTCAAATATATCACACTGTATTATTTTACACAAGATCCATCAATAATAACTTACAACAAAATTTATTATTTCTTTTATCAAAAATCATTTATACAAATGAACTTACATACAAACAAACACACTTTTGAATAGTCATCACATTTTTTTTAATCTACCGCTCATTCGTAAAGCTGTCTCATTACAAGAAGAATGAATAACACTTGCGTGTTGCTTTTTTAAATAATTTTGTTGTTACATTTTTAAGTTGAAGTGTGTGAATACAAACTATCAATTGAATACTCAAATAGAGAAAATATTAAGTATACAACCGACTGGTTGAGAATTATATAAGAGTGAATCAGTTGTTGTGATTAGTAGTAGTGATTTTATCTTTCTGTCTGCCATTAGGCTTATGGTTATAATCAGATTTATAGATATTTGTTTTTTTTGATATCGCGTCCATTGACGTGAATCCTTTTTTTTTTTTTTTAAGGAAGGAGTAAAATAATAAGGAAGTACTTATATTTTGGCCAGACATTCGCTCTCCAGACGGAATAAATTAGCACTTGTATCTAGAAGATTTAGGGCTAATTTATTGGCGTATTTATTTTTATTATATCTTTTAAAATTTATAATAATTCCTGATAGATAGAATTTGTTCGATTCCTATGGCACGCCGAACATTGAAAATTCAAAGTGAAATATCGAAATTAAAATGTATCCAATGTAATATATAAGACGCAGTATGTGTAGTTAGGAATTTAGATTTGAATTACATTTCTACTAAAACTGATAGTTACGCAAATAAGCTAATACAAACGTCTATATATTTTTAGTTAAGTAGTATTTTATTTACTAATGACGCCGGTAGCATATGACTGTGCAATTTCAATGGAATATTTGTAGGTATATGATAAAGACAGAGAAAGAACTTCTCATGTGGAGTACGGATACTGTTACCATTAATTTTCTTATCAAAATGGCATAAGTACATAAGCGACGACTAGCAAACAAAAGACCATTCTTTTGTTCGCTACTAGCCCTTTCTTAGCCTGCAGTAAAGGTATAATGGTTGGCTGGACTCCCGTAGAGGATGGTAAGATGGGTTTTTTTTTTATCTTAATACTTATTTTGCGGAAGTCCATTTCTTTACTACTTGAATATATTATTATTATTATTATTTTGTTTAATTCCGCTTCCATTATTGTGTATGAGATCACATATATAGGTTCTATTTTTTCTAAAAATCAAGTTTTTCAATTACGTGGAATACTAGAATAAACTTGTTTAAAAAACTGTCTAATGTGAAAAGTTAATTAGTCGCCTTGGGATAAGGCGTCTAATTAACTGTACTGGACAAATTTTCCTCCAGTTTAATTAGTTATTGTTGAGTCATTGTAGCAGGTTTTGTAAGGGTCGGGAACATGCAGCCATTAGTGATGGTAGGATGAGCATGTGGTCAGTTGTGAATAACCCGCGGTAGCTTCTAAGGGGTCCTCATGGTAGTTATTATCAAACAAGACCTGTGGTTAGTGCGTAGAGGTAAAATTACTTCTTTTAATAGATGAATAAAGAATGGTGCTCCCGCGTGTGCCGGGCACAAGTGAAGATATGATTCAAATGGAGTCAGGTTAGGTAGCCCATCTTGGCGAACCAGTCTGCACTTAGATGTAAAGGACACCACACGCCCCTTTTTTAAACTTGTAAAATTGGCAAAAAAATTTTTTATGTAAAAA